CCGAGGTAGGGACTATGACGGAGGCTCGGAGCAGGTACGAGCGGTGTCCGAGTGCGAAGTACGGGACAGCGGTGGAAGGTCGTAACTTGGCGGAAGGGTGGCGGAGGAGTAACGGAGGGAGGAGAGAGGGGACAGGTAAGGGGAGAAGGAGTGGCGGAAAGGAGAGTAGTCAGGTCCGAAGGTGAGTATCGGAGCGGACGGGGGAAGCGTAGGAGGATAACGGGAGGGTGGAGGTGTTGTGAAGGGGAGGCGGAGTAGTAGGAGGGTGGCGAGAGGGGTGGTGTTCGGTCCGAGATGAGTATCGGAGCGGACGGAGATAGGGTCGGGGAGGTAAGGAGGAGGTGTGTTGCCAGGACCGAAGGTGAGTATCGGAACGGCAGCGGTAGGTTATGACTCCAGAGGTGAAGAGGGTGGAGGTCCGGAAGTCGGGTTGGGGTCAGGTATGCACGGATATGACAGGTTAGCTGACTGAATATTACCGACAAGTTGGGTTATGGGGTTAGCGGAGTGATGGGCTATAACCCAGAAATGGAAAGGGGGATCAGCCCGAAGGTAGACTTGCAGGGGAGGCAACTAAGTGCCTGGTGGAAGTGGGGTGTGCTTGTGGACATTGGAGCTGTTCGGAGACCTTTGGGGTTCTGTACTTAGGGAGGTGTAGGTAATATATTGAAATGAGGGGGTGATGACCATCGGGGGAGTCGGAGGGGATTGTGGAATTCGGAGGCTCCAAGGTTAGTGACGAAGGAGTGGAGACAATCCAGAAGGACCAGAGGTGGTGGAGGGTGCTGGTTGTGGATGGATATGACAGATTGAGAGTGCGTGGTATCACAACTCTGAAACAAAAAGGATATAGTCATTGTTAGCCACGATGATATTAAGTTAAAGACTCAAAAACTCCCCAATCCTCGCTACAGCTTGGCTGTTGTCAATGAGCATTGATATTCCAACAGTGTGGAGACAAATCACCATGGATGCAGTGTACACCTTCACAGATTACCATGCATGATAGAATATCTGTGGGCAGACATATGAGAGGAGCGTTGACACCTTTTAATGTTTATGTGACACTATCATGTGCAAGGGGCCAAAGGAACATATGTTTAATTTGGGACATGTTGTTCACTATGATGCCATGCAATGTTCTTGAAGAGGAAGACAAATGACTGGCAGAGGCAAACAGACATACCAAGGCAGAGTGGGAATGGAAGATGGTGGAAAAGGAAGTTAGAAGGAGACAAAGGCAAAGAGGAGCGAACTGTAAACTCTGTGATGTAAAGGGTAAAGGGGAAACATAAAAACACTTATGTAACACAATAGAGAAAAAGAAGGAAAATGACAAACTTTCAGCATCGAAAATTGCGTAACATTACCTGCGGGGTGACTCTGTGTGCAGAGTAACCTTGCAAGCAAGGTAAATAAGGTGACACCTGCATTGTTCGTTGTCGGCTGGGTTCGCAACCAGCCGAAGGCAGTTCAACTAGTCCTATAAAATAAAGAGGCCCAATGATCAGAGACAACGTCGCGAAGTCTATCATTGGGTCGGTGATCTGACAGAAGTGGATAGTACTACTGAAGCACACCAAATATAAAGGTTCTTCATGCGTAAAATATATACGGATGCATGGCCAACTTGAATCAAAACATGTATAGTAGTGATCTAAGTAGAAGAGACGGGATGAAAGAAAAAATTGTGGACAACTGCACGAGCATACATTAGACATTCATCCTTAAATGTTTATGTAAATGTATTAGTAAAGCATGGTTTCTATTGATAGAGCTTAACGCTCTTAACTTCCCAATCTGTAACGCATACAACTCAATTTGCGTCAACGGTGTCGAAAAAAGCCCACTCACAAGCATTAGTAAAATCCTCTCCTCTTGCACGAATGTAGTCGACGCAAGTTGAGTAGCCAGTGCGAGTAGCACAACTACCACCAACTTGGCCATTGTTCACTGGAGAGCTCCATATGTCCGCCGCCCCTGCCCAGTCCCCACTAAGTCACACCAGCATCAGATTCCTGAATAAAGACTATCAGGAGAAACGTACCATAACGTAGTGTCAAACACTAGCATATGACTCTTGAAGAAATCAGGTGGGTTGCAGCTCGTCGATGGCCACCTGGCTTGGGGTGTGCCCCATCCACTCGGTTGAGGTTCACCGGTGGAGACATCAAACGGGACAGATCCACGGGGGAAAAACCAAATCCTGATACCTTCGCCTCCGCTTGCGTCGTCCCAAATCATGGCGTACACACCACCTCCGTTTGAGTTGAAACCCTCGCCGTAAGTATTTGGGCCCGAGGCTCTGATGCCACAGCCTAATAAAGATTTAAAGTGAGATGAATGCGAGAGGATAAACCCTTACCAGTGTTTGAGTTGGCATGCGCGTCACAGTTAGGGGAGCCTGTCAAAGTTCCAGTACCACCGAAATCAATCGGCATAGTGCATCCATTCTCTGTGTGAATAGACATCTTTTTGGCACCATGTATCAGCCTTCCGTAAGTAGGACAGGTATTCCAACTGGAAAACACAATACCAAGTTTTGTTGAGCAAAGTGTACACCTTCGACGATATCTATTTCGCCATCGACCGGCCACGTTGGTGTTCCTAAGCTCCAGAATGCCTGGGAGGGATCACCGGTTAGGGCTGAACCTAGGCCTCCACGTTGGGAAGGGTCTCACCGGCCAAGTGCCACAACCAACTGGCATATGAACCTATCGCAGGAGTTTGTAAACACGGCTATCATAAAGTATGTTTTAAGGCCCACAGCATCGAGAATGACTCTAGACAGCTGAAGTTAGCATTGGTTGTACAGAGAAGGACAGGTACTCACAATCCCCCATCATAATGCATGATCGTCGAGATCCGAACAGAGTCGCGGTTGGATGTAATGTTGGGAGTGGTGTCGACCCTCATGATCGCGTTTCCAGCACCATTTATAGATACCAGACCTTTCGACCACTGAACATTCATGAATGGAGATCAGAACGGCACAGTAGGGGGGTGCGGGGGTGTAAACATACCGAGTATGCAGCATTGTTGTAGTTCACGGCACCTAACAGTCCAAGGTGAGAAACAAGCATACTTACACTCTTCGTTGATATTATTTACCATGCGTAGGATCGCTGCGGGTGAAAAACTCCCACTCATCAAAGAAAGTCGGGCCCTCCTGGAAACAACTAAAATCGGTCGTTTATTCATTCCACAAACTTGGTACTCACATAATTCTGCTTCAAATCCCACGGACTCGAGAGTGCATATGAAGGAGATGCGTAAATCTCAATCCTGTTCGTTCCACCACAGGTACCAATGTTGAGCAGAGGGCAAGGCGTCGAACATTCACTGTCAGCCACTGGTTGTGCGTTGCCTCCTGTCCACGAAATGGTGTTCCCACAGAAACACTGATCCCCATTTTCAAGCCCAGCAAAAGTGCTCCCCATGAAAGCACAAAGAGCCGAGCAAGTGAGAGGAGAGTTGAGCGGAAATTTGTGGGGGGTTGAGCCAAGTGCAGGAGGATTGCCTGTGTCGGTAAAGCAGCCCAGACGCGGCCAGAGAGAAGGAAAGATGTTGCTGGTTCGAGCGTATAAGCTAAGGAGATTGACTGTACCCCCAAGGGGTAAACCGGGTGAAGCTGGGGTGGTGCATCCTGCCTCGGGCAGAAGGGAAGACGCAACAGCAGTTTTGTCTATACTGTTCGAGCAGTGACACTGCTGTCCACTCCCCAAAGCTATGTAATTGAATCCCTTTTCAAAGCAAGTAGACTGACAGGAAGCGAGGCTGGTTACGGTCGAAGTGAGGGCGATGTCCTGAAGCAGGGTGTTATTCCCGCTGAAACATCCGACAAAGGTCCAGGGATCGTCGTTGGCCCGAGGGTTGGAAGGAGGTTTAATGGGGTGATGACGCTTCATTGCGCCGAGGAGCCCTTCAAAACTTGAACCATGTCTACGGCGGGCGTGTTCGGACGCGAGGGTGAAAGAGGACAAGAGAAAGAAGGCTGTAAAAAGAGTGACAGTAAACGTGAACATTATGTTATCAAACGAGGGGAAGGGGAAAATGAGCGTTTGGTAGTTGATACTGCTCCTTATTATAGGCACTGATCAGACCCTGACCTGCCACACACTATCGAGGGATTTTCGCCGACGTGTGCAAAAAAAAACAGGAAGGCGGCCTCATGGTATTTGCGCCGGGTATGGACTTGGACCGAGGATAATTTTTATCCGTGGGAGCGGAGGATTTTCCGACAAGGCCCCCGCTGGGACTTGAGGGATGACGAGGTGAACGCTGATTATGTAAGGTAGGGTTTGCCTCGGGCTCCGTCGGAACTGAATGACTGTCATTCATTCGCGGAAATATCAAATGTTGACTATCTATATTACATCCACAACCGCACCATATAGAAGGCCAAAGGATGGCAGCAATATTGCACAGACGTACATCTACTCTAGTAGAGGCTGGGATCCTAAGTATGTAAGACGTACAAAGAGGAGAGGGGGAAACACAGAAGTGAGTGCAACATCGAGGCGCTCCAGTGCTCCAGTGCTTTTAAGGCTATATGCAGCTGCCCTCTGCTTTTCACTTCCAAGGTGTTCCAATACTCTCGAACGGGGACGGGCATCTGCCCTTCGATCTTTCTGTGGGTATGATCATATCAATTGCAACCACTCGGAGCCATGGTACCAATTGAATGGACCAGGCAGGACGATGCCACGGCAACGCGGAAACGGGGGCGTGATAATCCACGGCGCTGGACGCTTCGTCTTTGTCCTCGTTAAAAAGCACGTCTTGGTCGCCCATGTTCACATTTTCAACATGATTTACTTATTATCAGCTCGATGATGAGATTGAACCATGGATGGAAAATTAGAGTTACAATCCCGTTGAATGAATTCGTTGGCAGGCAATTTCAATTACATCATGACAGCATGCAACGCCAAATTGACTTTATTTATAAGTTCTGTTTCAACACACTCTTCCTTTCTTACCCCAACCTTACAGGCCACCTCGCTTGCCACCAACACTAGTCTTTTGGCGCTTAGAAGCCATACATTGCACAGATCATGTTTCTTTCTCTCGTTTTGCGCTCTAGAAGAGCTCCTTTCCTTTCCTTGTTCTTCGTCATCGTCTTGTTTCTGGTTTCTCAAACACCTCCATCATCAGTCAACTCGAGCTATTTCTCTTCTCTTCGTCCCCAGCTGGAGAATTCCATTTCATTATTCGGAGGGACTCTTGATGAGGACTCTCAATCACCAGCATATCTTCTCAAAGACGCGTTGCCGCCACTCCACGGCGATGATCACTCGTCGAGCAGCCAGGTCCTGTACCCTCACCGCCCAAAAAGCCCATCTCCTATAACGATGATAGTCATGTGGAGTCCCACAGGCGGCAAGACACCCGTATACATGAACACCTACTTTTCATCTGTCCTAGCAAACCCGACAATTGACCTGCTTCTCATAAAATTCGACAGAGAAGGACACGGAGTTGATTGCGGCCCCATGGCTCCTCAAGTAGATAATTCGAATATTCGCGAAGTATGTTTTTCTCTCGAGGACTATTACGAAAGGCATGCTAGGTGGTTGTGTGGGCTGCCCGGATGGGAATGCAGTCAGGATGAATTCGTGAAGTTGACTAGCGACTTGAAGAAGTTTGGGGTTTGGGATAGGGTATGTGTTTTCCAGGAATGTCTTTTGCTTGGACGTAACATGCGTTTTGACCAATCAGGTTTCGTCTCATTTTCGCCCCTTCAGGGCTGCCATCTTCCATGACTACATTCACCCAGATACTCCAATATGGTACAGTCCTTGGTCAAGCTCATTGACGAACTTTTGAGGTTTCTTATCATGACCTTTGCTAGGGGCTGGGGTGACCTGGATACAATGTGGGGGAAGTAAGTCGTTGTGTATCGCTTACCGTTTCTATGTCTTATTCGCATATTGAATCCAGTTTTGAGCGAAACTGTATGTCCATTATACCCCTTTTCTGGTTCTGCTAACCCACACTGATTACTTCGCCATCAGTCCCATGGGATCTGGCGCCTCAGTTTGACATCATCGTAGCCTCCGCTCAGTCCTATCTCGACGAGATCCTTTTATACCTTCCCGGACATCTCTGCTTCTTCCGTCATTCCCAGAGTATTGTTGATGAATTTTTGAAATACCCCGCTTTAAGGAGCCTGGAGGCATTTAGAGCTGCTGAGAAGGATGGGAGATGGATAGGCTCAGACGCTGGCAAAGACTTTTTTTCTTGTCCCCTTCAGAATACCTACTGATTTCCCGTGAACAGAGGAACAAGAATATTCTCATTTCGCATTTACGAACAAAAACCTCACATTCCTTACCTTTTACGCCATGAACAATCACGACACATACCTTTCCTCGCCAAAGCTTGGCACTTATTCTGTCATAAACGCTCATCACCTTTCGGATGGGCTCCTTATTCGTAATTCGCCTTTGGCGAGCGAGGCAAGTGGATCGAGGACAAGGCCTCCACCAGACAAAGAGCAGCCAAATAGTGAACATATAGTGGAACACACTGTCCCTTCCTTAAGAACGGACCTGCGGGATAGACTTCTACTCCATATCACCCACCACAAACATTTACTTTCATCAATACATCGCGCTGGCAGCAGGTCTTGGCATAAATTTTCTAAGGGAGGGTTTGAATATGAAGTTGAGATCAGATATGGGAGTTATCAACTCGCGTGGTTCGACAAGAAGTTGGCGGTTTCGTACGCAGTTGATAATGAGCTAGTGAAGGGCAAGGGGTTCGGGAGGGCTGATAGCGTCAGGTGAGTGACCTTTGAATTGAGACGTTGGGGCTCAAGTTGGGTGGTTGTCTTCTCACCGGTCATCTATCACCCTCTGGACGCCAGGTACGTCATGCGCCGAGAACGAGGAGGACCCATCACAGAGCGTGTGGAGCGCTTGAAGACCATCGAGTTCGCTGATATCTCTGCGGATTCTCATGCTGTGAGGGATGCCGATGGTGGCCTTCCTTCCTTGGCCCGCACGAAGTTGCACAGATTTTCGTATACAGATCACCCTTATCTTCTCGAGTGCCTTTATACTCATTTTCAGCATGAAAAGTACAATCGTACGTCTTTATTCCCTCTCCCCTTATTCTGAAGGGAAACCGATTATCCTTGTTGTTAGCCTGGTGGGACGTGCCCGAAAAAAGCCTTACTGACGAGATCCTCTTCGTAAATCGTGATCGGCAAAATGGATTCCTTGAAATATGGGATAAGAGTGGGGAAGTCGTCTTCGAATCTGATCCGTTCAAACATGATTACGAGAAGTGACTGAGATGTACGCGGAAGTCAGGCACTCCAACTTTGTCTTAACCCATGGTTCGCTGAAGGAATAATGCACAATCATTTTCCTGCTGGCCTGGAAGGAGAGACAGATGATTATTTCGCTACTATTTATCGATTTATCGATTACTGCCAGTCTGCCATCTTTCTGTAGCCCATATCGGCAACCCCAGTTACCTGATACATATCCACCTACAGAGTGGTTACTATATATCTGCTGGTCGGATTCTACACATTGTGCGAGTAACGCGCATGTACGCGTACGAATTCGAGGATTGGTGTCAAGCCGTGATGTCATCACTGCCTTCGATTGGCTGGGACGTCGAGAGCGTGCGGCCGAATTTTGGCCGGGCGCACCATACTAAGGAAGATGAAGGCACAAGAAAGTAAAATGGCACCCGCGACAAATATCATTCTCGGAAAGAAGCCGGCCGTGAGAGCGTATAGTTCACCAATGATGAGCGGCTGCATCGGACATTCAGTGATAGAAAGTATGAAAGGTGATATACATTACACACCCCAAGGACTGTCTGACCCAATGCCTGAAGGACACCAATAGCGCCAAAAAATTGACCTGGAGCAACCACCTCCGTGCCCCACTGTATTTCTTGTCCCTCTTGATCTTCTGAGATTTGTTGATATTCACCTGTCTCCGAAGAGGATTCATCGTGTATGGAGCCATTCGAGGGGGGTGATTTGGTGGGGACTCCATAATCAACCAACGCGAGAGCCACGCTCTGCGTAGCGGGCGCCATTCCGCCACCAAAACAGCTCAGTAGAGACGTGACGATGAATGAAATTTCAGAAGAAATGATGCTGGTGAGTGTGAATGACATCACATCCATTAGAAGAGATAGTTTTGCCACTCGAAGATCAAAGTAGATCGTTGGGAGGAGGTATATTCGTCTACGAGCGGCAACGGCTGCTGCCCCTGTTCGGGAGGAGACAGGTTCAGGTTGAGTGGGTGGACCCGGTACTGGTTTTAAGAACTGAATGATCGCTTGCGATAAACGTCAGCAGGCTCAATGCGGTCGGGATTCTTAGACTCACTTGGCAAAAAAACCACAAGCCATAACGAGCGCAAAGCCGATGAGACAGTGACATAATACCCGATCTGAGAGCGTACCCCAACGTCATCCCACAGGTGGCAATTTTTTATTGAGAATCACTGACTTTTTCCGTTTCCCAGTTAAAGATATGTTCAACATACAAATACTTGTTCGGATAGACGCCCTATGATTTACTTGCTGTAAGAAATAAAGGGAAGGGTGTTCGAGGCAACTTCTTACCATATTGAGGAAGTTGCACCAAAAAGCGAGCCCAATAAAAGTGAGATCAAAGTCCCATCTCCAAATTGATGCATATGGCTTCGAGCCGAAATTCGGATAGCTTTCCGATCCGTTCATGTCCAAATAATCGTTCCGTCTTGGCAGAAGGACTGCCAGAGGGGCAAGCACCTCCCTCAACTGACGTTTCAGCTTCCAGAACAATCTTTTGGGTATTAATAAGGTGTCCGCTATCTCACTAGTCACAGCCTGCCGCCGTTCCACCTTCGCCCGCTGCTTCCTTGCGAAATCTTGGTCCTCACTGGAGACGGATTCGGGAAGTATGAGGAGTACGTAAAGGAGATTGATCATATTTGTCGCCAAAGCGAGGTAGAAAATCGTTGGTACCCTTGCGGGCCCTGGAATCCTGAAAACTCGTAGGACCACAGAGCCGATAGCTGGGCCCAACGAATTACCAACGAAGTGAAGACCTTGGAACCTTGAGAAGAATGTCGCCCTAGAGACTTTGGGAAGTGGAGGAAAATTGCATCATGATGGGAGAAAGTCAATACCTGATTTCTGGCTCTGTACAATCCGAAATATATGCGTTCATTACAGCGAAAAAGGTCGCCCAGCTGCCCATTAGGCCCTCGACCGCTGCCCCCGACACCAATAGGACACTCTTTATCAACGGACTCACGCCGGATCCAGTGCTGGACGCTAAAGCAAACATCAAATCCCTAGCAGATGAGGAGATGAGGAGGAGAGCATTTCATGCGCGGTAGAATAACGCGCCCTATCCAGAATCCAATGATCAAAGTAGTCATGACCCGAGTTCGTCCGTGTTCATCTCCTGAAAGAAGGGCTTTACTTCTGCATATCTTAGAACCCATCACGGAATAACCCACCATAAATTCCCCAAAGACCAGACGTTAAAATGCTCATAATTCCACCAGCTGTCAGAGCCACAGCTTGCATCGTTGCCGCCCTCGCGCGAACTACCGCATCGGAAATGCAGTCCTGAGATTGCTCCAGATGAGATTGCTGTGTCACTTGGAAGTAACTGATAGATGCCATTGGGTGACTAGCAATGGACGTTGAAATAGGGCCCTGGGAGGGCGTTATCATGCTTGCGAACGCCAAAGCATTGCTGTCCTCTTGTTGCTTTTCGCAGGCTATCAGATTGATAACCCAATAGAGTATAAATAGCGTAATGAAAAAACCCCGATACTCACCAACTTTTGTATACACTTCCACCCGCGGACCAATTGTAACGCCTCGCTGTCCGTAATCAAGTCAACGACCGTGTAATAGAGGAAGCACAGTGCTTACTGCAATTGACGTCGCTACGACAAATGGGACCAGATACCGGATTAACGGTATCTGTTTAGGCACCTTTCTGCTTGTGTCGCAATGCTGATCTTGCAACAGAGGTCTGTCCATAGTGTCCCAATGTTCTCACATTCACGTGCCCCAAATGCGATGTGACGTCGCCTCGGAATCCACGATGGATCAGGCGTTTGATGCGAGTAAAGCCGAGGTTTGAGGAGGTGCTTCTAGCGTGTAGTAAGTAATGTGGTCTCTGTTGGAGAACAGCGCGCTAGCACGGCCGTGCGACAACCACGTTCCCACGGCCGAGCGAGGAACTCCGGCCAGCCACCGATTATGTAATTATTTTTCTTTTCTAGATCATTCCGCTCCCAACTACTGGGTACGAGTCTGCTCACATTCATTCATTTGACAGACTCTCCATCCATTCCTCAACACCTATAATCATTTTTAAAAAAATCTAGAAGTGTTCTCATGCTCAAACCCTTATCAGAACCAATTTATCCTCACGCATTTTATTTAGCTAACACTCTTTATTCTTGATCATCCCTCCATACCTGGAGCCCATTAATGCTAGGGGTACTCATGTCAACATAGGTATCGGTGATTATGTAGATTATTTATGTTTTGATTGCTGTAACCGGACGCAAAAAAGTTTTATCGCAAGCACTGAGGGCAGGGCTAAGCAGCAGCCATTTCTAGTACAAAGTCGGCCAGAACAAACAGCAACAACAGCATGCACTCTCACCATTCTCATTCAGGTCAATTTTGCAGACATGCTAATGGAGCGCTGTCTGAAGTCGCGCAAGCCGCGGTACTAAAAGGGTTCAGTGTCTATGGCCTGACTGAACACGCGCCGCGGTATCGCACTCGAGATCTGTATCCTGAGGAAGTAATGGCCATTCATCCGCATCTCACTTGCTAGAAGCTGAACTTTGGACCTGCAGTCCGATCTATCAATCGAAGACCTCTCTTCCGCGTTCGATACCTTTGTCAATGAGGCTCATAATGTACGAGAGGAACATTCATCCTCCGCGACAGCGTTCCTCGTGGGCCTCGAAACAGACTACATTACCGACCTCGACCTTGTTATGACTGAGAACCTACTTGCCAGACATGGAGATAAATGTGACTATATCGTGGGGTCTATACATCATGTCAACGAGATCCCCATAGATTTCGACAGAGAGACATTCGAAAGGGCGTTGGGTTCGTTTGGAGGGTCGGATGCTCCTGATTCCACCACGGCATCCCTTATTAATCAAGACATACCCCAAAACTACCAGGATTTGATTATTTCTTATCTAGACTCCCAGTACAAGCTCATGCAAGGGCTTCATCCTGAAATTATCGGCCACTTCGACCTTTTCCGACTGTACAATCCCTCAATCACTTTTTCAGCTAGTTCTACACCTGCCATTTGGGAGCGAATTATGCGAAACGTTCAATATGCAATCGAGTACGGCGCTCTGTTCGAGGCAAATTCAGCTGCGTTCAGAAAGGGATGGGACACTGCCTACCCAGGAAAGGAAATTGCGCGGGTATTTTGACTACTTTTGGTTTATGCTCATCTCACTGATCGGTTGCGGCATCGAGAAGCTCATTGTAGACCATGGCGGCCGTTTCGCTCTCTCAGACGATTCGCATGGACCAGAATTCATTGGCTTGAACTACAGCAGACTGAGAGCTTATCTGCACGATGTCCTTGAGGTCCCAACAATCTACCATCTTGAACAGAGCCAGGTGTGCAATAGAGGCGGGAGGAAAGTCAGAGCCGTCGCATCGACTGGTTTGTGGTGGGAAGACCCATTTTGGAAGCAAGTTTGATTGATTTATTGCTACCCATGTCCAATGTCGTGTCCAGAAGATCAGCAGGTGTGACCAACACACATATGTCCCAAATGCATACTAGCATAGATACAATCAACTAACCGTTGCCTTATCGTCGGTCGAGCTAGGGGGAAGAGGAGTGTGACTCGTAGAGCTAGACTTGACGTTTTTTTCATCGTTTGCAGACGGTTCTAGATGATCCTTCGCAACAGGAGAAATTTTAAAACTGAAATCACCAAATATCCGCTCGCGCGCCACCGCATAGGCAGCCTCTCTCTCTGCTAAGCTCTGGGGGCTTCTAACTGAGTCCGTACTTGAAGATGAACTGTTCTGAACAGGCCGCTTTAGAATGCGCATCGTCGGTCCAAGAGCGGATGGAGGCGGGAGACTGCTCCCGGCAGTCAATGGCGCACCCAGGATGACGGTGGGCATTGGCGCGGATCCACCTCTTAATAAAGGAAATGAGAGATTGCGGATCGACTCGGATGTATCGCGGGAACAGTGTTACACTAAGTACTCACGTATCCCATGCCCCTTGGTGTATCCCATCTGCAAGCATTTCAATAGAAGGACGTTTGCGGAACTGAGATGTCCCCGCTACGAATGAGTTGTCCTCTTCGTCTTCGACATTGTCTTCATCATCATCCCAACTATCTGGGACTTGTCTTGCTTGATCCTGCTGTCGTCCAGCCGGTCGCTGGTGTTATAATTTTGTACTAATCACTTTATGTTTATGGGCGATTCGCTCACCTGAGACAGCCTTCCTCGCCCTCTTGACAATGCCATCCATACGATTTATGATGTAATATATTCGGCCAACTCCGGCGCAATGCAGCTAGATGAGGTTCCAACAGATGATTCAAGGTTGTTTCTGGCTACTGGGCCACCGTTTTCCCAGACAGGTGTCATTCCTCCGCTGATTAAATTTGAATCAATTCCTCATTGACTCAGCAAGAGGAACGGCTCCTTGCATCGCTGTACGGCATATGCCGATCAGCCAGAAAGCTTCTGTATTCTGCATTGCCACTATGCCGTGGCCGCCACACACCCTTGAGCAATTTGGCACGGTGGCTCGGGGTGACGTCGATGAGAGCGAGTACTACGGTCCCTATAATGGCCTCTTGGGTGAACTGTTTCCTGGTCGCTCTCATTTCATGGTGGTGCCACAGTACAAACGCCCTCGATTTCCGCAATTCGTAGACTTCACGACCATCTTTATCGTGCAACACAATAAGCATCCGGTATTTTTCATCGAGATCAAGCCTTCCTCGCATGTGGATACCATTGCAAATCGTGCCGCCGCCGATGATCAGATGAGGGAACGATTCGAATCATTCGCTGAACAAGTTAGCATAGATACTTTATACGGGATCAGTGCGCTCGGGTCCCGTGTTTGCGTATACTCGTACGATCGTGCAACTCGGCGGATAGTCCCCGCAGCTATTGAAAAAGACGCAAGCAGGGTGAATGACAGGGCCCCCGCGAAGTGGTGGGGATTAGACATACTCGAGGATGATGGCGAAGCACACCTCCGCCAAGTGACTACACATGTGCACCAGATGTGCTCCACATTGCAAACCCATGGTGAGCAATCAGGCCCCATGACGCGATGATCCCTCTAATACGAGCCCTTTCGCAGGCCAAGACTAGTGGTGCCACACATTGCGTTTGTAAGATGACTGTAACGTTTGGGACTTACAGCGAAAACCAATTTATCAGGGAAAATTTGCGCGAGCAAAACTCTTAGGACCTGTTATCAAATGACCCTCGCAAATCTTACGTTCAGCCGCCTGCTGTTGATGAACGTAAACGATAACCAACATGCCTCTTGCATGCTGCCTGAGTGATGACCTAAAGCTGTGTATCCCGTTTCTCTGGCTAGATGGTCCCAGCATCCGTATTACTTTTTCTGTGAGCAAAACTCTAGTGTACAGGATTCTGAACTGCTGGAACACCAACAATAGTATATCCCTGGTGCTTCAGAGTTGAATGACTAGGTGTTTTCCCAGGGGATGCCACCACTTACATTGAGACCCACCTTGAGAGTGATGGCATGTTTCTTTTGGATGAGCTTTGGGTTCATATCCGTGCAGAAATTGGGCTTGATGTTAGTGCAAGCACCCCTTCATTTCATGTTGCCTTGTTGGGGGAAGAATTAGAAGTTGAGATCTGGTCAATATTAGAACCAAGGTACTACAGTGTATCATACCAGATATATAAAGGGAGATATAATGAATGGAAGTGGACCCAGGCCAAGGCCAAGGGGTCTGGAAACAAATAGGAGCAAAGAGTGGAGTAGACTGGATAGTGGCTGGCAATGGCCAAATGTCATATCCATACAATCCCGACCTCCGCTCCGGGCTCCCGGAACTCCGAACCTGACTTCCGGAGTCCTACTTCCCTTCCGTCACCTCCTCCTTGCCGACTCCCAAGAGGTTATCCCACCTCTGGCTCTGACACCACCTTTGGTCCGACTCTGGAACATTCTGGGTCCGACCCCAACCTCGACACCTTCCAGATGAGTACACAAAACCTATGCTCCTGACTCCGGACCTCCACTCCGGAATCCCGTTTGTGTTTCCGTCTCCGGAACCTCCGGTCTTAGCTCCGACCTCAGACTTTGACCCCACCTCCGCTTATACCCATTGTATTGGTTAGCTCATTCCATTTAATTACCTTTGCCAATATTCCAGAGTTTAACTTCCAAGTTCGGACTTTCTGGACTTACCTCGGACCTTGCAACTATTGCATTGTCCTATTCAATTCTGCTATTCTCCCTCATTCCTATTTGGGCTGCTGCTTCCTTTCTATTCAGTCAGCTAGCCATTCCCCACTCCCAACCTCCTTCCTTCCTCCTTGGGCCTTGGCCCTTCATTCCTCCTTTGGGAAACACCATTGAGTCAAACCCTTGACCCTCGGTGTTGTTCCTCTTTCCATCTCCCTTTGTCTCCTTTCATCCTACCCTTGTTCCTTTTGATTCCAGACCCCTCCTTATATACAATGTACCTAGTAACTTGTAACCTCAGTCCGAAATTGACCTGAATTCCCCCCAAGAGACTTTCCCTCTGCTAGATCCGAAATTAGGGACCCCCAGGACAACCAGCAATGGCACAGCGCTCCACATGAGTCGCTGAGGCCAAGGTCCTTCCACGCTAAGTCTCCGATTCCATTCCGGAGTCATCCGAATCCACATGTTCTAACACCAAAGGTCAAAACAAACAATAGACAAGTAAACAAATAAACAAAGGGACATCGGTGCAAGGAATGTAGGGTGGGGGTGGTGACACCAGACTTGGAGTTGGGCTCAAGTCAGGTGTGGAATCAGGGAGAGGTCTTGTTACAGAGTTGGGTTCTGGGAGACTTGTCAGGGCACATACCCTGACTTAGCCCGGACCCGGACCCGCATCCGGACCTGCTCCACTTCCTGCGTGCACTTCCCGCACCGCATGATCCATGTGCTGCATGCTCCGGTCCCCGGATCCTACCTTCATGTGACTTCCAGGTATCCCCGGAAGTTTTCCTCATATTGTGGCCACTGTGGGAAAGTGAGAAGTAACCTTCTTCTCACTTTCTTACCCACAGCAGGCAAGTTGTACTTACCTGCCTTTCCTTTTATACACTTTCTTACCCACAGCAGCATTGTGCCCTGAGATGGGCTGTTACAGGTCAAGCTCTGGGTTATAGAGAGAGGGGTCATGGGGACCTGGGGACCGTCCCCTGACGAGACTGTAAGGTCAGTGTAGGTGCCGACCTTGGTGCCTCCTCTTTGTCAGTTGAAATCTAGGTTATACAGAACTTATGATTTGACATTGGTGAGGAGAAGAGTAAAGTTCCCTTTACCTGACTCCACACCATACATATTAAATACAAAAGTACAACAAGGAATAATATGTAACCACCACCCATTCCTTACAGAGACCCACTCTGACCCATTCCTATAGATGAGACCTTGAGCTTGTCAGCCTCATGTGTGTAGGGGAGTTAGGTTGCTGATACCACTGTTGATCTGTCAGAATGATAATCAATATAAGATGAACATGTTGAGCCATGTTGTAAGGTCTGATCCAACAGGTAGCATGTTTTGCTGGAGAAGGTGTGGCCTTGTGGGTGAAGGAGGCAGCTTTGGCTGGTACTCGGTGCCTTGGGACAGATGGGGAATATGTGTCATATCCATACAATCCTGACCTCTGCTCTGGGCTCCCGGAACTCCAAAACTGACTCTGGAGCCCCACTTCCCTTTTGCCACCCTCTCCCTTGCCGACTCCCAAGAGGTTATCCCACCTCTGGCTCCAATACCACCTTCAGTCCAACTCCGGACCATTCCAGGTCCAACCTCAACCTTGACACCTTCCAGACAAGTATGTGTCAGGGACAGCTCCAAAAGTGGCAAAGTGTCAGGGACGTGTCCGGGGTAGAGGGGGTCCGGATGTATCACCTGGCAGAAGGGCCCTCGCAGGGTGCGAACCGGGCATGCGTGCTGGCAGGTCCGGGAAGGGACAGCAGTCCCTGGTGTTACGGGGATGGGGAAAATTCCCCATTCCTCAATCCGTTCTTATAGTGGGAAGACGAAGGTCATGTCTAGTCTGTACCATAACAGGATAAGTAATTGATGAGTGGTCCCAGTCTTGTCTGGGAGGGGACAATCGAATTCCCATTGATTGCGATTGGTGATGTAGTGAGCTATTAAGGGATTGATGGTAGGTAGTCGGAGATATCAGGATGGATGGGTCAGCCACAGGTACTTGGCGCTCCTCAATGGAGCGTACCGTGTGTGAGGTCACGACTTGTGAGATGGGTGAGAACTTCGTATAGCTGCCATCGGGTACTTGGTGTTCACAGTGCGAACGTACTGGTAGCAGGCTGATATCATAAGCGTGCAATGAGGATTGACTAACAGGGCCTTCGGTGGCTTGGCATTCCCAAAGGGAACGTACCGTTGGCAGGGAAACATGATGACTGATGAAGGAAGAAACAGACGGTGGATGGGCAGCTACTTGGCGTTTGTGTAGCGAACGTGCTGGCATCACGGGAAAGTGGGCCTCAGAGTGTTCACGATCTCTATGATTGTGATGTGACATCGTGTGTCGAGTACTGGGGGGAGAGCGGAGTGATGAGGACCCATAGGGTACAGATTCCATAGGATGAAATACATGTTGAGAGTCTTCGACTTGCGACCTCGAGTTCTCACAGCGAGGGCCGTTAGAGGACTCGATATAACCAGACATATAAGACATGTTGAGAGTTGTACAATCACACGGGTTCAGTTGAGTCACAGGGAGGGTTGTTACAGAAGATGACACACAAGACAGTTGTAGAGCAGTTGTTAGTTAGTGGGAACCGCCTTCAGTGGTTTCCATACAAGACAAATGGTAAGGTCGTGGGAAATCCCGCAAAACACAAGTAACCTCGGCCAGCACCAAAACCCCAATGGGGAAAGCTTTGCACGAGGGGGGGAGGAAAGGGTAGAACGAATAAGGAGGGTAGGGTATCAGGATAGAGGACGAAAGAGAGAAAGAGGGGGAGCGATAGGGAGGAGAAGTCCGTGACCATGTGACGGATATGGTTGTTGGAGACTCCGTATCCATAACATCGCCCCCCAGTCTCCTAACGACCATGACGCGGTCCCCGAGGGGCATATCTCCGCAGGTCGTCTCTCCAGGGCGACCGGCTTCTCGAACGCTCGTGATAGGAATCCAGATGGAGGGAATTGTACTGAGCTCCACCGGAGGAGGATGGGTGTGGATCCGATCCCGGGTACTGCACGGGCGGGGGGTAGGGCCGGGTCATAGAAGGAGGATGGACAGTCGTTGGAGGAGCTGCCAGGTTGACGACGAAGGCGGGCACGGCGGTGTTGGTGTTGCTGTCCACCACCCACATAGGATTGACTGGCATTGTGAAGGTTGGCATCCGTGGAATTGACTGAGGCACTCCGGCACTATACGGTACCATACTAGAAGGGGAAGGATCGGGATTCGAGTCTCTCCGGTTGGAGCGGCTGTCCCTTCGAGTGATCGATTCCCGAGATGTAGGTCGAGAAGACCACCTTCTATCCACGTCTCTGTTGTAGTCGGATCGACTAGGTGTGGGGCGATATGAGTCCATCCGAGTTCGATGGGTTTCGTTCCCCATTTGCCAACGAGCCTGTCCCGAATGACCTGAGACTGATCCTTCTCTTCGTCTGGGATACGGTTGGGACCTTCTCTCTTCTCGAGGCAATTTCCTCCAGCAGTTATGGTTCAACAAACCCGAGGGAGAGGATGAGGCAGAAGAGTTGTCAGTGGAAAGGGCGGATGGGGTGTTGGTAGGATGAATGCTTGGTTGCGGCACCACCACATTCGGAGGGGGTAGGAAGACCAAACTCCCCGCACCTGGCCAGTTGGGAGATGGAGGCAGCATGGAAGCATCTCCTAGGTTCAAACCTAACGTTCCTGATGTCAGCTCATCTGAGCCTTCGTCGAAAGGAGTCGGTGAATCTGGCTGTGCCAGTTGTCGCTCAGCGTCGTCCATGACTACCTCTTGTGCCTCAGCACGAGTCATGAAGCGTCCGGTATCCGGGTAGTAGAATGTCCGGCTTAGACGATGTTTCTCCACCAACTTGAGGGTGGATGGGTCCTTGTTGGAAGGGGGTGGACCAGGCCACAGGAGTCGGA